ACGCCGGGTGGGGAGGGAGCGGGGGGGGGGGCGTTTGAGGGGGGAGATGTGCGTGAGAGGAGCCGGGGCGCTGAGGTGAAGGCCTGCGGCGGGGGGCACTCCGAAACTGCCTGCTAGCGTTGGTGCGGCGGCGGGTCTGGGCCCCGCGGCCCGTACCCCCTCACACCCGCTGCCAGGCGCAACTTGTTCTCACACACCCTCGGGGGACCTCCGGGGACTTCGCTTTAAGGAGGCTGTAAGAAAGGAGGGAGCGGGGTGACGAAGGAAAAGCCCGCCACCAAAGAGCCGTCCCCATTCCCCGCCTCACCGCATCCTGGAAATCGGGGAGCAAGGTTTCACAGCTCCTCCCCGAGAAACCTCCCGCTCTCACCCGTGTCCTGCTGTCCCACGGGTGCAGCAGTCGGTAGCGGGGACCGACCTGTAGGTAGGTAGGGGAGACCTCTGTCAGAGCCGAGTCGTGCAGCAGGTCTGGTCGAGATCCTCCGGAGGGATCAGGTTCTGCCCTGGCTCCTCTGGGAAGTCGAAGAAAACTAGCATTGCCTTTTAATAGAAGTGTATATAAAATGTTTAAAGCTTGCTGTCATCGAGATCTTTAACACCTTACAGCACGTAATAAACATATGGTTTATCTACAAAATATGTGTCGCTTTTATATGTCAAATGAAATTTCAGAAGTGCATTTTCCTTTCCTACAGTATCTTACATTTTAAGATACCTAGCTCTTTCTGTCCTTGATTTTCTGAAATAGTTGGTATCGTTGCTATTAGATTTACAAATGAGGGGACTGAGGTGCATAGCACAGTTACATCTAAGCTCCCTTAAATGCTGTGGATTGGGTGCCATTCTGTGAAGAGATAGATACACAAGGTTATTGCGGCACTTCAAGTAGGTAGCCACAGTAGAGCTGTGGAGCACCAAAATGCCATGTCTATCCCACTTTTCTGTATCAAAGCTTACTCCTTCAGAACTGGTCTTGAAATTGTCTGTCTTAAACCCTAACCACATACAGGTCCCCAAAAGTCGAACTGATTATTAGGACTATTATTGTTGCCTTAGCAGTCTGTGTTGTTCTCAGTTGTTTACTAGATGCTTCCTAGAACAGATCAAGTTAATTCATTGTTTCATCCTCCTTCATTACAATGTCAGTAGGTAGTCCCAATGGCAATTTATTCTTTTCACTTAATACTTTGTTACTGGAAAATCTCATATACTATGAAGTTTCAAGTTTCCTCTTGATGCTTATAAATTACACATCTTTCCATCACCAGCATTTTTGCTACTTCCAGTCTCTTATGACATGTTGTGTCTCTGACATTATTTTTTTTTGAGCCTTCCTGTTAGCCTAAATGAATACAGCTAAACTGTATCTTAGAAAAAATTCTGTCTCTGCCAAGAGAGGAAATGGAAGCATTTCAGATAGGTGGTGAAAAAGAACAGGTATTCTCACAGTGCAGAGAATAGTAATTTAACACAGTGCCTTTACAGCTATTTAAATTTTAGGAGATGTGGTTCAGCCCCCAAAGTGTCAGTGGAAAGATACCCACTGATTTTTGTGGTCCTACATCAATCCAAAGCAGAACAAATAGGACAAAATGCTGAGTATTTGGCAGAATTTTAGATTCCTGAAAGGCATTAGAAGGAAAACATATTAATCCAGGTGAGGCAGCATGCTTATATCAATATACAATTCTGTATAATTCTATATAAATTCTAGTACCAGAACCACATTTTTTTAGAGCTAGCTCAGTTATTTTTGCATGCCAGCATATCAAGCCACACAGACGGGTAATAAATTACCATCAGGTTCTGCAGTTACAAGAGAAAAGTTACATGTCGTTTAGGTGAAGATCCACATCTTGCAGCCCTCAAATTCAGTATTTAAGGACTATTGATTTTCATATAACTGATTTTCTTAGTTATTGTTTGTAATCTTCTTAATTGCCACAACGGTGTTCCAGAGTGAAGTAATTGCAGCCTAGGTGCCATGAAAATATGTCAAAGAATAGATAATGGTTTAGAGCATGGATAAGCTTTATGAGTGCCATAAAATTATTCTTAAAAGATTTTTGGTAGAAAATTTTAACACTTAGATGTAATTTCAGGAAAAATGTGTTCTTTCTTGAATCTGAAACAGGGTTAAAACATGAAAATGTTTTCAGAGAGAAACAGAAGAGAAGTGAATATTGTTATTTTTTAAATCAACTGTGATCCACAGTGGTTTGTTCTTTCCGTTGGCTTTCTTGTTCCTCATTACTCTTCAAGACAGTTTTAGTGAAAAGACGAAGCGCTGTGACATTCATTATGTTCTGTCCCTGATACATCAACGTTGGCAGATTAGCCCATGTTTAAATATTAGGAATTGCTTTCTTGTATGGGCACAGATGGGTCATTGTTGTATTTTGGGGCAGAGAGGGGGAGGGGATTAGGAACTACGGAGAAGAGAATGTGTTTCCTTGGACCACTATAGTTTACAAGAAACTCACAGCAGCAGCGCTTTCACATTCTTCAGACTATAGGCACCATAATTAAATGCTACTGTAAATGTGATGTTCTTTGGCTGTCTTGCAATCATACTGTGTTTTTCCTAGCATATTCCTTGACATCACCAAAAGCAAGAGACTTCTCTCTGTATATAAAGGGGTCATTTCACTGGGAATAACTGTATCAGTCCTATTGGAACTAGTAGACTATCTGTTTAGGAGGGAGATATGACAGTTAGGTTTAGGCTGAAGGTTTTAGCAAAGAGCTTAGGGTATGATACTTTTCTACAAGTTCCCCCAAAGTTAAGTGTGCTGGTAGAAATCATTGACTAATATCATCTTTAACTATGGGGGTTACTCCCTTATATGCTAGTTAATTCAAGTTATAATTAGTGTTCGAGCAATAGTGTTAGAGTTTGAGAATCCTAACTGTCCTAAGCCCTGAGTAATGCTCAACTATGCAAGACTGCCAAAGATGAGTAGCAGGGAGGTATTAATAGAATCTGATGTACTGTGTTGCGATTTCCTGTAGAAAATGGTGCCCTTCCTAAAAATAAAACTACTATTAGAAATGAGTTTAACACTGATACTAGCATTCTAAATTGTCACAGTTTCCACTTGCATTTTGAACCTGTGGGAAACAAGGAGATGAGAAGGAGGTAGGCATTGACAGAAGCCAGTGCCTTATACCAACTGACAGAAACCAATGCCTTAGTCTCCTATAGGCTGAGAATAATTCTAGTGTTAGGCAGAGGGTTTAAGGTTTAAGGAAAATAAAGCATCAACAGGTAAATTCATTTCTTATAAATGCAAAAATCTTGACAGCAAGCTTTGTGTTAATGTAGTTAGCAGCCAAAGCCTTTCATCATTTTCTTCCTCAAGAGAAAATAATATTTCTACACCAGATGGAGAAATAAGCTAAGGGTCTATATTTTATTTTACAGTTGGAATTCATTCTCTATATCTGAACAAGGCTTTTGGTACACTTGAGGTTAGGTTTTTTAATGTAATATGTCTGCATCCCTGAGTAATGTTCTGCTCTACAGGTTCCCTTGCAGGTAAGCATAGAAACAGTACAAATGAAAACCGGAGACCAATATTGTTTTATATCACATCAGTAGGTTCCTATGTATAAATTACAAATTGATGTTGGACTCTGCAGAGACTACAGAGGTGACAATTGGACAGATACTGCTAGAAGCCTTATATTGTCTTATATTGTCAGTCTCTGTAGGAATACTTGCCCTAGGAGAGTGTTGTTAGTGTTTAAAACAGGTTAAGCATAGGGTTTTGGAAACCAATGACTAAGTATGAAGAGCATACCTTATGGTGGAATCTACAGTGTTCCCAGAAGTAAGAATGAATAAGGCTCAGGTCATATGAACAGAAGCTGTTGGCTTTTCCTCTAGTAATTGATCCTGCAGTTAATAATAATGCAAGAGTTAGAATTTGAGGTATAGGATTTTAGGATTAATGTTTGGGAATCTTTAGACTGAATCTAGTAAACAAAATGGGCCAGGGACTGTTCTGTAGCCCTGCGGTGTCTGGTCGTCTGGATAGGGTTGAGATTAGATTTACTATCTAGAATCCAATTTATTGCTAGTCTCTGGAATGTTCTTAGGGGCAGGAAAGAGACCAGTGATGCTACAAGCTGATGCCATTTGTTCTCTTTCAGTAATGATTTACTATCTTTCAGATTAAGATTAGGGAAGTGTCAAGACCCCAGTTCATCATCAGTTTTTACATATCTGAAGAGCTAGAAAGGTTGCTGTCAACAGGCGGAGAGGTTTAGGTGAGGACTCAACAACATAATTCATAGACAACCCAGCTGATTGGATCTAGAGATACAAAGTGGTCTGGTACCATCAAGATCCAGTACCTTATTTTCAGTTTGCTATCTTTTTCGTCTGTCAAGCCTATATACAGTTGTAATTAAGGTTACACTACAAAAGATGACTTCAGGAGACTGGGTTATTGC